TGTTTTTTTGCTGCTGTAGCTGCAGTGAGCCCCCTATCGCAATCATCCAATGCAGCAATTACGTCTTCTGGTAGTTCTGGTGCATATTTCAGCAATTTCCATTTTTCATGCGTCATCTCTTGATTTAAACTTGAAAGGACCAATTGTTGACACTCCAAAGCTCCAAACCTTGACAGGGGTAACAGGGGTGTCATCTTTTGGATCTACGACCGTTACATTCCCCAAACCCATATCTAGGTTTCTTTTTAATCCAGAGTAATAAAAAGAGACAGACTACAATGCTAAAATATTTTTACCGCCAAAAATCCATAAGTTGACACTAGTGTCAACATTTGGATCACCCCTCGATTTGGGCTTCAATAGTTGACACCCCCCCCTTAAAAAGTTTATGCCAGTTGTTTAAGAGATAAAACAATAATAAATATGTATTACAATGTATCTTATTATACAGTAAATATATATTATTCATAATTTATCAACCCTACCTTAGCTTTGAGAACTTTTGTTTTTATATCTTCTTAACGATTTTCACTAGAAATCTGGGAAAAAATTCAAACATTTGCACCTGTTCACTACTTCTTGCCACAATTTTGAAAAAACTTGTCATTTCAAATCCATACATCAGCTATAGCCTGAAAGATGGCTCCAACAATACTATAAGCTATTTCAGTTAGCTTATGACCTATATAAATTCTTATTTTCGGGAATAATATGCTAATGTGTCAACTTTTGGGACCCTGTCAACAACTGGGTACTTTACCTTATACCTATGGCGGCAAAAAAATATATTTGTAGCGGTTAAGATCGTTGCAATTTACCAAGAATTTTTTTAATTTGAATATGCCCTTGATTTTCAATAATAAAAAAGTTACTGAGTGTTCCAGTTATAAACAAACACCCTGTACATCAATACCTTGTATACGATTCTTAATTTTGGCAACATACATAGTGTTTCAATAAAAATAATGAAGAATTTTGATGTTGAAAAACGGCATTTTTTACTCGCCCTCTCGATCGCCCTATATAGGTGTGAAAAAAATTTGCAACTAACTGAAAAAAACTAAAGGCCAAGAGAAGTCGAATGGTGCAAATCGCAGGTAGCTAGTACACCTGGTTTAAAAGTTATAAGCGTTTACAATCGGTCACTTTCTATTGGGACACCTTGTATTTTGAATTTAACCGGAGATTAAATTTAATTGGAATTTTCAATCATGGATTAAATTCAAAGTTGGTATCAAATGATATTTTATAGAAAAATAGGAAAAGCATGTATGATTGGTTTTGCTGTAAAATCAACCGTCTAGGTTTTACAGTCTGTCAAAGATGCAAAAAAGTCAATTTTTTACTGTCATTATTTACGAAACAGTTGAAGATAGGTATATGACTAGTGACGTAAAATTTCCGAAACATTCAAAAGCCGCGAACATTCTCGGAAACTTTCCAAGAATATTGGAAACTTTCGGGAACTTACTGAAATATTGTTGTTTTTTTTATTTATAGCTAAATCAGACAAATCGTAGAAAGCTTTATTTACCTATTATTGTAGTGTACTGGCTATAGACTATAAACCAAGAAAAAAAACCTATTTTTTTCTGTAAGATCAGCTAAAAATTAAACTATATGTAGTAAAAACACATTTATGGACGATTGAATAAGGCTTTAAAGGAAAAGCTGATCCGATTAACCCAATCTCTCAGCTCTTTATTCTTTATCTTTCTTCAATGAAGATTATTTAAAAAAAAGACAAACTGTAGGAACTACAGCTGGTGATCGGATAAATCCGATCAGCGTTTCCGTAAAGACAGTTGGACTGGGCTGTCATCCACATAAATTGAAATGACGTCACTGAGACCTTGTATTTACAATAATCTCGCATTTTTATAAAATTCTTCTGGAAAGTTCTTGGAAATATTCTTTTGAGAGTTTTTGATTGAAAGTTTCTGGAAATATTCTCGTTCAGGAGAACGTTTCCATATTTTATCGGCGAATATTCTCGGAAATTTCCCAATGTTAGCGAATATTCGCATGGGATTATTCTCGACTCACATCACTATATATGACATTATACATGAAATATGTCTATACTTTATTTTTTTCCAAGTTAGATTTTGGCATTGTCAATTTTGAAACATAAACAATGCCACTAATGCCACTTATTGGTCGCTATTGTAAAACTGATGTCAACCTGCAGAAACACCTCATTTTGCGACCAATTAGGGTCAAGCGTTATTGTTTATGTTTCAAAGTTTTCAATGTCAAAATCTATCTTGGGAAAAAATAAAGTATAGAATTTTTTGCAGAATCCAGAAATGTCATAATATACAGGGTGTTCCATTAAAAAAATATATTTTTTTGTCTTTTAAACTTTTTGCAACATCCTGTATGAACAAAACTATGTTTTCTGAAAACAATTTTTCAAGCACTACAACTTTCCTATTTAAATTTTTTTTATACACAGTGGCACAAAAAAGTTAAGGGGGTGGGAAAATATATAGAAATGACCCTGTACAAGCAGAAAAATCATTATTTATTAGGAGATTAATTAAATTTAACCAGTTACTGATATGAAAGGCTGTGAACAAATTAATACTTTTAAAACAAAACTTGGACAATATATTAGAGATGAGACAGATTAAATTACAGTGTCCCACCACAGATGATGGAGATTCCTACAGAAAATGATTTCTTTCTCAACCATGCCCGGATAAACAAAAACTGCTTAATTTTTTGTAGGAATCTCAATTATCTGTGGCAGGGACTATACCATTTAGGGTGGTAAAACGCTTTAGTGCAACACGTAGTTTCTCATGAGCTGCATTTCTAATGTTGAAGTTAGCCTTTTTGGACCGATTTCAATATAAATACATGCGGAATATATTAATTTTCAAGAAAAATCTATAAATTAAATTGGTTCTATTTTAAGGTGCGAAGTGTCGGGTTTTAATAGGGCATCCTATCAATTTGGCGGCCTAGGTCAAACAGTGAAATTAGCGCCATAAGGATTTTATTTACCTTTTGGTGGATTCCTGTCTCATTACAGTTCGTTTAAAACTGGTATAAAAAGTACTGGTTGACAACAAAGCGCGCGAAGCGCGCTTTATTTTTTAAATTCATTATTAACATACAAGGACTAGCACGCATTACGTGGATGGGTTAATTTGGGTTAGTTTGCATATTTTTGGTTACTTTGATTTACAGTTCGTTTAATACTGGTAATATCTACTGATTATGAGTGTACTGGGGCGCGCGAAGTGCGCTTTGTTTTTTTAAATTCAATATACTAGCACACATTACATGGACGGGTTAGTTAGGGATAGTTTGCATATTTTTGGTTAGTTTCGTTGCAGTTCGTTTAATACTGGTTCTAATTGTACTGGCCTAATCGTCAATTTTTCATATAATTTTCCGATGGAAAATCTACATTTTCTGAATTTATTTATAGCTTGCATGTTTGTATTTGAAGGAATCTTTCTCAAAAAAAATAAATAAAAAATGCCGTGTTTATTGAGACCTATAGGTAAGTTACGAAATCCAGAAGATGTTTTACGTTTTTGGTGGATCAACGTTTCCAATGAGGATTTTCCAATGACATCAAAACACAGATAGACCGAACAATAAACAAAATTTTCGAATGTCAACATCTCTCTGTCTCTTTTGGGTCTTTGTGCTATCCCCACCAATGAGAATGCCAAATTTTGTCTTGAATCCCTAAATAATATATTTTTCTCCTCTAATTAACATTTTCAATTTTATTTCTGAACTCAATTTGGCAACAGCAGATTATAGCAAAACACCGCCCAGAAGCGGCTTGTTGAATGGCAGGCAGGTGTTGATTGTAGTAGCTAGCTATCTTTATTGCAAACAGGGATTATTCATTAGCGTTAAACAAGAAACGACTAACACGATATTAGTACTCCCAGAATAAAGGGCTCGTATCGAATATTTTCAGCTTATTTGTCAATTTGTTATTTTATTTATTCATCCAATTAAATTTCGAGATATATTCACGTGTGGGCGGGGTTTTTTACACCATTTTGAGCAATGATGTCTCCCTACCCCGACCCCGCGAGCAACTCACCTCCCCTGGCCCATGGGTGGTCTTGTCAACACAACAAATAATAGTTTATGAATGGGATGATCCGTCTATCTGTGTTTTGATGTCATTGGGATTTTCTCTTTGAGATTTAGCGAGCGCCATTCTAGACTTAAAAATAATTTAAATTAAAAAAAAGAAATTGCTTGTCTTTTGCCGCCATATTGCTTTCTTCTGCCAGGTTGGATTGTCAATGTCATTATTGCGCAGCCTTTTACTACGCGGCGGTTCAATAACAAGTCTCTATTCTTATTATTCCGCCGTGGTGTAATGGTAGAATAGGAATAGGGTTTTTTTTAAATAAAATTATGAATATTCAGTTACTAAGACAAAAACGTCAATATCCGCACGTAAATTGATTCAAAATCAATAATAATGAGTATCTTTATTGTAGGACTTGCCTAATATACAAAACAAGATTACAATGTACAAAATAAATTATTTACATCATCATACATCAGTAAAAGAATGCACTATTACACATTATTATTTCAATACAATATACAATAGGACAATAGGATGATTTCTTAGACCAATATCACAAAGTGTCATCTCAATCTCACAAAACTGTAGAAAGGATATGGATATATCAACTAATTTTTATGGAAAATTTGTTAATTTTGGTTGCACTAAAGCCTCTTACACCCCCATTTAGTTTTATTGAGTTGTTTTAGGAAGTGCTGGGAATATTTTTGTTTTTTTGTTCTTTTTTGCCAGTTTTATATTTATTTATTTATGTTTGAAATTGATGTGCAATGTAAATTGATTGTTTTTCTGTGTTTTTTAAAAGAATATTGTTAAGATCACTTCGAGGATCACTTATAAGTAACTCCAAGCTTTAAATAAGTTATAATTAGTTATAATAGCTAAATAAACGATTACAAAAAAAACCAGAAAAAGTACTTACCGGCATTCGTTCATATTCACCACCAATGGCAAAGTTGATGGTTGAGCGAACAGTCTGTGCTCCATAGTACCTGTCAGATGGTACTTTCAATTCCCCAAATGTATCTTTTTCAATGCGGAAATCGGCCTGTAAACAATTACAAGGAGCCTTATCAGCTGCTGCCATTGTAAAAAATCAAATGAAATTGAAAATTCCAGTATTTTGAAACACCGTGATCACTTTGTTGTCAAAATAAAGCTTTCTCGGGTGGAAAAATGCAAAATGCCAAAATAATGTAATTTTTGTTTATAAATAAATGTGCACCCTCCAGAGCGAATTGTCAATCATTTGCACCTACTGGAATAGTCAATTCAATGGAAATTAGAATGCATGCATATTGATAGTATACCGATTTCACAACCTAAAAAGCCTTGCGCCGGAGTTCTATTATAATTTGAACAAGACATTTTCGCAAATGCAAATGATGACATAACTTCTGTTCCCTGCCAACCTTGCTTTGGGAACTTACCATTGTTGCTTTAGAAATTATAGGTTCCTGCCGTAATTTCAATATCGTTCTCACACCAGCTGCTGTGCGACTGCCTAAAAGCCTGGAGAAAGCCATTATTTACTTATTATTGGCCCTTATCGGCGACCTCGACCCCTTCCGACGAAAAAATTCAACAACACCGAAGACTGGGGAAAGAATTTTCGCATTTAACTTGACGCTTGACGTTTGTTTAAAGTGACTTGACTCGTGACGGGTTGTGTTGTCTGCCTACCAAGCTGGGATGCGTTCGAAAACTTACACCCAGGGTCACATAGGCAGGACGTGCAAAGTAGTGCAATGTAAATAAGCGGTAAAAGTCGAGCAAGGCGAAAAAATACGACTGAAATATTCTCTTCTCAAAACAGGGGATCAGCGTTGAAGATGTAGGTATTCCTTTCAAGAGTTTATAACAATATAACACTAGAGCTGGTCGCCCCGGTGTTAGTCTATCCCGATTTGAAAAGAACAGAGGCGTTTTCTCGCGGGGCGAATGGTTCGAACTACGGTTTAAACCAATTTCACGATGACGTCATCACTTGTGACCGCGAGAAAATGAAAGGTTTGAACCACAGTTTTATGTCAACGGAGAACAAGCCATGAGGCGGTTCGAACTTTTTTGAACCAGGTTCAATGTGACGTCACTGGTTCAACGCAAGAATGTACAGGTTCGAACGTAATTGAACCGGGTCGAACCAGTTCCACCGCGAGAAAACAGCTCAGATGCGCTGGGTTTCGTGGGTTCGGGCTTAAGCACTCAGGTGCAACAAACACTTTTCGAAAGGAATAAGTGCGTAATGACCCGGAGCTGTTCTGGAGCTCCTCCTAGGTGTGAAAGGCTCACAACTTAAATATATGAAAATGCGGCTTCCCTGTCCATCCTGTTTCGAGAACTGTAGTCCAGAGACCTAGGACCCAGAACTACTTGGGGTGAAAGTGGTAGTAGCAAATTATTGAAAACAATAGGTTTTCACCTGTATCTAATAATAAATAACACGCTGATCAGCTCGGAGCTGCTTGAAACAAATGCAAATGAAAACCTCTAACGTGGAAAACCCGAGTGAAAAAAAAAACAGAGAACTGTCAGTAATTGAAATTGTCATCCGTCATCTTGTTGTCTGTCATTTTCATTTCATTTCAAATTGAAAATTTGAAAATCAACCTCCCTCCAGTTTTCTATTCTATTATTTATTTTTATTTGATAAGTTTATTTTCTTGATTATCATGATTATTGAATTTTGTAATAACAGTTAATGTTAATAAAACTTCCCTCCTTATAAGTACAATTTCAATATTTTAACACGTTCTCTGCCGGGTCGGTCAAAACGACCGAAACGAGTCCTGTAACAAAATAATATTTCAGGCTGTATCTTGACTATGGCTAGTAGTGAAGATTCTGATTCTGAACCAGAACTTTTTCCTATATCGGTAAGCAGAGGAGACAGAATTAATTATTTAAGTGTTCAGTGTTTATTGCATTGACTTGGTTTCTGTGTTCAGTATTGAGCTGATTTTTGAGTGCACCTGCATACAGATTTACACAGAGGAAATTAAAACCAATATCCTATGTATATACTTACAGGTCTCCACTATTTCAAAAGGCGTGTTTCTTTGTAAAACTTGAGCTGTGCCTAGAGTACCTAACCAGGACCTTTCCTTCAAAGCTACATTTACACTTGGAAAGTTTACTGGTGGAAAGTACTTGCCGCCACTAAACTTGTGATGTGTAAACCACCCACAAGAAAGTGCACTTGCTAGGGTTCGTTTCTCGAGGGTTCATACTTTTGTTATCGAACACGTTATAACTTGAAAAAAAAAAGGGTTGTAGTAGATTAATTCTGAGGGGTGTTTCATTCCAAAAAAAAAAAAAATGTAAGGTACCTGACCCAAATAAGGCCATGTACCTAATAAGGCCAGTGCCCGAGGGGTAGGTCACTCCCCAATTAGGTGTACAAATGTTGAAATGTAATTGGAAAAATACATTCAATTACCTGAATTACCTTCAATTACATTTAATTACACTCAATTACATTTAATTACATTCAATTACTTTCAATTACACCCAATTACATTCAATTACGTTCAAATATGTTTAATTAATTACATTCAATTATATTCAATTACATTCAATTACATTTTAATTACATTCAAATACATTTAATTACATTCAAATAGGTTCAATTATTTTGTTTGAATCGGCTTTTACTTGGTGGAAATCCATTATCTAATAAAAGATTTTTTAAGTAAATTTTAATACTTATATATTTCCACAATTTTTTGTTAAACTTTTAACATGTTTCGCTAAACTTTAGCTTCATCAGAAAGATTTTAGAAAAATAAAATGTAGACATAAAAGTGAAATTGACAAATATAAAAAAAGGTAAAAGCTGGTCTAATTTTATGTTAATTTAAATAGGTATTACACAGTAAATAAATTTAAAAGTGGTGAATTGTTTAAATCTAATTGATCGTTCAATAAACAGTCTAAAGTTTTAAGTTTGTTTATTTCTAAAGATTCTAGAAGATTTAATTTTATCCCTTTGTTTTCATTATGTAGTATTTGAAATTCATTATTAAAATTATGATTTGATTCTATCAGGTGATTAGCATAATTTGAATCTGTTTTCTTTTTATTGAAACTATTGTAATGTTCTTTAATTCTAGTACCAAAATTTCTACCTGTTTGTCCTATATATACTTTTGGACAATCTTTACAAGATAATTTATAAACGCCAGATTTATCACAAATTTTAGTTTTAGATTTATTATTTTTCAAGTGAAAGCCTATTGTATTGTTAGTTTTGAAAGCAACATTTATATCGTTTTTGTTAAGACATTACTTTTACAAAAGCAGATAAAGGAAATACTGTTATAGCTATAAGTAAAACTGATTATATACAAAAAACTATAGACTTTTTAAAACCTGTAAATTATACTTTATCAAATACAGATCCTACTAATAGTTTTCAAAATTCAATAAAATGAATAATACAAAATTGTAAAAGTTTGTTTATAGATAAAGACAAATGGAGATTATTACTTATGAACCCTCAAGCTCCAAAACTTTATTCATTAATAAAACTTCATAAAATAGGTAACCCTATCAGACCTGTTGTTTCTTTCTTTTCAGCCCCTTCTTATAAAATTTCTAAAACCTTAATTAATATTATTTTGAATCATACTCTATTTTCTGCTAAATACTCTATAAAAAACACTTATGAATTAGTAGACAAAATTAAACATATTACATTACCAAAAAACTCTAAATTTATTTCATTTGATGTTACCAATCTTTTTCCAAGTATACCTATTGAAGACGTTATTATTCTTGTTGAAAAACTCTTGATTAAAAATAATATAAACATTGTTAAAAAAGAAGAAATTATTATCGTTTTGAAAGAATGCCTCAGACAAAATTATTTTGAATTTGATAATAAAATATATACTAGCAAAATTGGACTTATAATGGGAAATCCACTAAGTCCTATTTTATCTGAAATATTCATGGATTTTATTGAATCAAAAATTAACAAACATCCAATTTTTAAAAAATTCCTCTACTGGCATAGATATGTTGACGATGTTCTAACTTGTTTTACTGGAACAGACAGACAATTAGATATTTTTATAGACTTTATTAATAAAATCCACCCTAACATAAAATTTACCATAGAAAAAGAACTAAATAATTCAATAAATTTCCTAGATCTAACAATCAAAAACATAAATGAAAAACATGAATTTTCCATATTTCATAAACCTACTCATACTGATACAGTTATACACAATACATCTTGTCATCCTATCCAACACAAATTAGCTGCTTTTAACAGTATGATACACCGATTAATAACACTTCCTATAAATAGTATTAATTTCCAAAAAGAATTAAACCTAATTAAACAAATTGCTATCAATAATGGCTATTCTTCTAAATTAATAGATGATATTTTAAACAAAAAACTATACAAAAATGCCATTAATTTAGTATACCCTAAAAAATTACAAAATAATAATAATTTCAAAAGTATTACTTTCCAAGGACAAGCTAGTAAGAAAATTAGCAAATTTCTTAACAAAAACGATATAAATGCTGCTTTCAAAACTAACAATACAATAGGCTTTCACTTGAAAAATAATAAATCTAAAACTAAAATTTGTGATAAATCTGGCGTTTATAAATTATCTTGTAAAGATTGTCCAAAAGTATACCGGGTGGTCCTCCGGGAATGACATCGATTGCTTATGGGAAAACTGTGAAAGGTAAAAATTTGAAAATTTGGCAACATAGCAATGTCGATGGGGGACATCTAGGTAAAATATTTTCAAGATGGCGGCATTTCCGGTCATACCGGAAGTTGATACCAACTCGGTTATTTTAAATAGAACACCCCATATATTAATGTATTTTTGGATTCTACATAAAATTCTGAGCAGATTTCATGTAATATACCCTATACCTAAGTTCAACTGTTTTGGAAATATTGACAGTTGAAAATTGACTTTTTGCAACTTTGACAAGCTGTAAAACCTAATTGGTTAATTTTAGAGGAAAACCGATTTCACATTCCTATCTTAGATTTTGATAAACTATCATTTGACACCAACTTTGAACTTAAACGGAGATTAAATTTAACTGAAATTTTTAATCATGGATTTAATTCAAAGTTGATGTCAAATGATAGTTTATAAAAATCTAAGATAGGAATGTGAAATCGGTTTTCCTCTAAAATTAACCAATTAGGTTTTACAGCTTGTCAAAGTTGCAAAAAGTCAATTTTCAACTGTCAATATTTCCAAAACAGTTGAACTTAGGTATAGGGTATATTACATGAAATCTGCTCAGAATTTTATGTAGAATCCAAAAATACATTAATATATGGGGTGTTCTATTTAAAATAACCGAGTTGGTATCAACTTCCGGTATGACCGGAAATGCCGCCATCTTGAAAATATTTTACCCAGATGTCCCCCATCGACATTGCTATGTTGCCAAATTTTCAAATTTTTACCTTTCACAGTTTTCCCATAAGCAATCGATGTCATTCCCGAAGGACCACCCTGTATATAGGACAAACAGGTAGAAATTTTGGTACTAGAATTAAAGAACATTACAATAGTTTCAATAAAAAGAAAACAGATTCAAATTATGCTAATCACCTGATAGAATCAAATCATAATTTTAATAATGAATTT